GTACATTGTGCACAGAACTGACTGATAGGGGGAGCGTGTTTGAATGGATGAAAGGGAAGCGTGAACTGCAGCTACCCTTGAGCTAATTCTGTCATGGTGGAGAGAAAACACAAGTACCCAGATTTCTGTCTCTCATTCTCATCTCGTACATTAGATCAAGGTTCAGACGCTGGCTTCTGCACAATATGTTTAATGACAGTTTGAAAAACCAGAGCCTGCTTTGAAGGGTCCTCGGTTCTTTCATTGTTAAGCTCTCATGATGAAGAAACCTGACTGGCCTCCATGTTTAGGTCACCGAATCCAACCCACTTCCAATTGTTTACATGATGAGGGGCAGATGGACCAAGGAAAAAAAAATGTGCCAGAGTCACATAACCAAATCACAGGAGTAAAGTGTTCAACTTTCAATTAAAAAAAAAAAAACAACCCTCGACCTGCCCTCCTCCCTGAAGCACATGGAGGGATCTTTGACATTAATTGCCAATTTTATTGAGTCCGTTTTGTTTAATTATAATCACAACAGGGTTGCCATTCTCCTGCTTTCTCAACAAAGAAATAACAAGCGTAGAAAATAACAGGCCCATTTTTAAACCCTGTAATTGCAATTTTCTACCCAAATTGCAGTCTAATGATTACAGGCATGAGCTGGAGCTTGACAGCAACACCAGGAAAAAAAAGAGAGAGAGAGCAAGAGGGAAAAAGACACATTACTAAGGACTCTCAGGCGCCACAAGAGGTGGAGAGTGAAAAAAAAAATTCTGCCAACAAAAAAAAAATGAGAGCTTCCTTTCTCCCCTAGGAACCAAGGTTTAGAAGTGGGGCTTCTCAAAATCTGCAATTCCCCAACCTTTTCACTTGGCTGATGGTTAAGGGCTTGGAGAATTGAGTTCTTTGCTGCTGTGCTGGAGAAGGGGTTGATGGGAATTCAGCACAATGGCACAATATTGAGAGTGAAAGCTGCCAAATACTGACTACCGCAAGGAAAGGGAGCAGAGTGGAGGGATTGAAGGAGGAGAGCTGGAGCGAGAGAAAGAGGAGGGTTAGTGGAAAAGTCTGATGGCCAACAAAGCTGAAAACCACCTCTATGGAGGAGTAAGTTTCTCTGCTGAAGCTCGTCATTGTCCTCAGTGTACACAACACCTTAAGAGTGAGCAGGACAAACTCCCAGCCAGAGTCAGGTGAGCACTCTGCTGGAAAGAGAATATGCTGAGGACTATTTGGCCTTAGAGCTCTCAATTGGACACTACAGGTGAACTTCTGCTGTTTTAAATGTGCTATATAAATAAAAGTGACTTGACTTCGAGAATGCAAGTTTGCTTACATATGTCTTCCCTGTTCAACAAGTAGTCTGGGAACCCAGTTGGAACCATTTTTCAAAAGAGAAAGGAATCCCTTTGAAAGTGTCACACGGTGAGTCGAAACTCTACACACAGTACGGCTTGTTTACATCAATCTCACAAGATAAATCTGAGAGGTTAAAAGATGAACAACACAGTAGGAAACTTAAAGAGCCGCATTTCCCCCACAAACTTTGCTGTTTATATGAAACACGGTGCCACAGTTTGAGCTTCGTTTTCATAACAACATAATCTTCACCTGGCACCATTATCAGTCCATGTCACAATACTTTAAGGCCCGCAATCGGACGTTCATCTCAGGAGTTAAAGAGTTGCTCAACACTCTCTGAGAATCTTGCTTTATTGATTTCCATTGGTTTAATCTTTCACCTTGGTGCAATGTTGTTAAGATGTGCATCCCTGTACCCAAAGAGGAATAATAGCCATAAAAAAATATCTGAATTTGAATCTACCGTCAGAACGATGCCTTTTAGTCAGATGAACTTTACATGGTAATTTGTACTCCAGCCTTGTTCACTAACTGGACAATGACATCACATGCACACACAGTTTGAATAGAGGCGTAGAAGACACAGAAGTCTGCACCCACATTCACGATGTGCCCACATACATCATTCACATAAACGCTCCGGAAAACACCCACTTTTACAAACACTGCTAAACTTCAGCTGTGCACACATACACATGCACACTCTCTCACTCCCTCTCGCTCTTCCCCGCACACACCCACAGCCAAACACGCACGCAGCAAATCAGCATGAATAAATAAGAGATGGAGTTGTGCTTCACAGCCTAATCTCTCAGGGAAAAACAGCTCGCCGCGTCGGCAAGGATCGGCACGGGCAAGTGACTGGGACACTGCTGGCTTCTACAAAACCAATTTGTTAGTTTATTGTCTTGGTGTTTAGTCTGTGGTTACAGTTCATTTCAGCCAGCCCATCCTGGGCATGCTCCTTTAAATGGCATCTATAAAACATGGGATGTACTCTCCTCATGTCCTCCTCCTCCTCCTCCTCCTCTGTACATGACGGAGCTGCACACAAGCGTCACAATGCTGCATTTCGTTTGCTATGGTGGGGCTTTGAATTTCCCTTCAAGCACCCGATGGATTCACCCCAGCAGCTCGCGCTGGCGCTTTGAGAGGTGGAACAAACTGTGCTTTCTAAACACATTAGTCTATGAACGCCACTGAGCAGCGAATCTTGAGGTGCTGAAATCGGGTGTAATCATGTAGATAGATGGCTGACTTTTTATTGTTCCGCTAAACCAAATCTGCAGGGCTGGTGGTGAATACAGAGTTTCTGAAATGATGCAATACCCCGGATTTTATGGTTAACTCATGGTTTTGCTGTGCTATGTTCACTGTCACAAGACACTGGGCTGTCATATGTGCATGCATCCTGCATAAAAAGACATGCCCTGGAAAGCTCACACTATAGTTAATGCAAAAATGTCAGCCTCACATGGAGACATTTGGAGGCACTGCAGCGTAAACCAGCAATCTTAAACGTACAACCGCACGGCGCCGTGCATACATGTATAAAGTGTAAAAACTACAGTGCATGTATTGTTTTGTCTTATGCCTGCAAACACAATCCACACTCTTATATTGTGCCCTATTGATCTGACAGAGTGAGCAGGAAGCTGGCGGAGAACACAAATACTGCCTGGGGTGGCTCCTTAAAACTAGAGACAAGCCTCTTATCCATGGTGTTCTCTTCCTCTAGAAATCACCTGGTGGCTCACGCATATCAAGTACTCTCTCCAAGCCTCAGTCTGCGCTCTGCCTTCTTCAGGCACTGCCGTTTGCGACAATGTCTGTGTGATGGTTGCTTTTTAAAAAGAAAAAACGAAAATGCAAGCTAATCTGCCTTACCTCCGCATGCTGGTTATTCAACTGCAGTGTGTTTCTTCGCATTCAAACAGCACAACCGTTTTTGTTTCACCATTTAGACTTAGAGAATATGTATGCTAAACGCAATATGGAAATGTTACGGGGGCACAACTTTATTCTGTAGCTCCATAACTAATTCCCACTTTTCACAACAACCACTGCAGAGTGAGTAAATCTTTTCTTCAAGTTTCCGGTGTTACTGTCAAGTACAGTGGAACTGTCACAGGGATCCCATCTCCAGTAATCCCAGGGTGGCCTTTGCTCTGCCTGTCAGCAATACCAACCAATAACCCTGCACAATAAAACCCTCCAGAACAACAGTGGGCCGCAGGCAGCTTCAAGGGCTACTGACGGCGATCTATAAAACAATATAATGGGTTGCCTGTCAGTGAGTGTGAAAGGGAAGATCTACGCCTCCTCTGACTCTCTGAGGGGACTTCAATTAATCACAGCAGAATTGTATCACGCCGCAATAGGAGTGTAAGGTTATTACCATCCCCGTATTCTGCAGGATGAAATGCGATGATAGCACTAATTGAGGGGAAGAAAAAAAAAAAACAGCTGACCGCACAACACTTGTCAAGGGGATGAAGGGCAGATGAAAGAGCGAGGTGAACAAGGAGATAGACAGAGGCAGAGGGAGAGGGGAAAAAAAGCAGAGAGGACAAATTGGGAGGGGGAGAGTGAGTGGAAGGGAGAGGGGGTTGAAGAAAAAAAAAGAGAGAAATATTCACAGTGGTGTGTAAGCATAATCATAAATATCTACAGACTGTGTGTGCAGAGCAGCTGACAGCAAACACAAGACCCAGTTTTCATTAGGGACTCCATCCGTGTCTTCATAGCACAATACAACAAGATAACAGCATTGTGCTTTTTTTCCTTAAGTCACAAACAAGCTGCTTAGAGCTGGAACTGCTCTTTTTTTTTTTTGTTCAGCTTTTGGAGTTGAAGGGAGGCACACATGCTGTAATTTCAGCTCACAGGTTGGACTTGGCTGGAGAGCTTTGCTGTGGGGAGCCACGGGGTTACCTTTGCCAAGGTACAAGCGATGGAGATGCAAAGATAAAGAATATTACACAGGCTATTTTTTAGGGGTAACAACAACTAAACACGGGTCGAAATTAGATGCAATCTACTGCAGATAGATAGATAGATAGATAGATAGATAGATAGATAGATAGATAGATAGCAGTTCTTCCACAATATTGTCAGCCACAATCAGGGGGTTAGGCGCCTTCCTCACTTAACAAATGATCAGACACTAATTTCTCCTATATGTCTGTTTAAATTCTATTTTTCAAAGGAAGTTGTCTTCATGAATTTGCACATGGAACAGTTCCTTTAGTGGCTTTGCGCACCAAGTGAGCTGATCTCTCAGAGGGGGGAAACTTTGGTCCAATTTAAGCAGTCAGTCAGGGCTTCACGTTGCTGCACAGATTTTGATTTTTTTTTCACTGAATCCAGACAAGACGAAGTTGCACATTTGCAAGCCTGCAGCAACACCTGTACGACACGTCAAGTCATTAGTTTCCAGTAGCCTGCTGCTGTCTCACCAGTTAATAACTATTTATCATAGAGGGGGGGGAAACAATCGATCATTTAATCGATAAGCCTACTTAATCATTGTTTTTTTCGCAGTCACGCGTGAGCTCTTTCAGAAATTCTCAAAAGGAATTGTTAGCGCTCTGAATATAACAATCCTCCAATTACACAGTGAGGTGAGCGAAATGATTGGAATTTGGACCTACCTGTCGTTGATCTGTCGGTTAATCCCGGGAAACGTCCCCTTTCATTTATTCTCCATTGTCAACCAAAAAAAGAAAAAAAGCTCTTCTTTAGGGAAATACCATTTCCTTGTCGCTTCAAGGCGCCCTGGAAAACACATAACCTTAAAAGAAAAAGAAAAAAAGAAAAGAAACACTTGTCTAATGTCAGAGCTCTCCAAGACGCGATATCCCTGAGTGGAAGAAAGTCTAGATTGTTTGGGGGGGCTGCCGGCTACTTGCGAGGCGGTGAAAGTCTATAAAAGTTGCTGGTCCTCCGGCTCTGACTCACAACTCCGCCAGCTGAGCGCCTCGGCAGCCGGACAGCAAGGCGCACGGTCACTCATAGTTTCTGAATTCAAGCATGATTGTTTTTTTTTTCGTTTATTTAACAATCCGCCATCCACATTTACTGGCTGGCTTTTAGGGAAACGTCTTCGTTGCAGTTAGAGAAATGGATTTGTGAGGTGTCCGAGGGATGCGATGAGAGCAGCAGGAACCCAGCTCGGTGCTTAGCGTGTGTGTGTGTGTGTGCGTGTGTGGATCCAGACTAGAAGAGGTGTTTCAGCGCCACCCAGCGGCGACGCGCGGCAGCACAGACCTTCACCTCAGCCAGCTTCACATGCTGAGAGCTGGATGCTTGAGCCCTCCTCAATGCAGCAACGTGCAAAACTTTGTAAGATCCACATAAAAAAAAAACTAAAAAGGTCCCAGATCACCTCCTTGTGATTCCCAGCATCTTTCGTGTCTCTTATTTTGATGGATTTAACATGATGTTTTGTCAATTTTCAGCTCTAATATTGAGACACAAACAAACCCAAGAGGCCGGTTCATGATGTGACATGATTTTTTTGGAGGAAGCGCTTTGAGCTATTTTGGGTAAGTGGGTGGGCGTAGGGAAAAAGATTTAGGGACTGTGGGAAAATTATTTGGGCGTGGAGGAGTGCTGAACATCTCGTTTAATTTGTTATTTTTTCTATTTTTGAATATATCAAGACACTCCCCAGTATAACTGGAATTATATTTTACAATGAGATACCACCTGTTTCAGTTCACCAAAATACTCTTTACCTTTACATGTACATTTGATATCTACAGCTCCTATTTTCATATATTTAATGTGTTCATGTCACTCTGTTTACACTGTAACATTCCTACACTGTCTGTAATGCGCTTTACTGCTGCTTTTGCACTTTTGGTTGGATGCAAAAAAAAAAGATCCTAAAGCTGTCATGGCACTTTACTCAGCTCAGTTTCAATCACATTGGCCAGTATATAAATGTTATGTGCAATACTTTGATGGACAAACATAATCATATGCAATGATACCTGCTGCCTATACACAATTTTTGTGCAATATTATATTGAAAGTGCACCACCTGAATACTTTTGTCTATATCTCTTTTGATGGTATTTTCTAATGTTTGATTTGGGCAAGGGCTGCGAGGTGGTGTGGTTTGGTAACACTGTTACCTCACAGCAAGAAGGTCGCCAGTTCATGTCCCAGTGGGGAGCATTTGCACGTTCTCCCCGTGGGTTTTCTTGGGTCCAAAAACATGCTGAGGTTAATTGGTGATTCTAAATTGTCCGTAGGTGTGAATGTGAATGTGCTTGGTTGTCCTTCTCCAAGTGTAGCCCTGCGATAGACTGTTGACCTGTCCAGGGTGTGCCCTGCCTTTGCCCTAAGTCAGCTGGGATAGACTCTATGCTAAAAGGTATTTGTAGTCGTACACTACATTTTATTGTCTTAGTAGCTGTTCTCTGTACAAGGACAATAAAGTTGAATCTAATCTAACCTAATCAATATCTCAAAATCACAGTGTAAATGGTGATAATGCAATTGCTTCAACTCTAAACTAAACAATAAATTGTTTGACCATTCCCTCTAAATCAAATCATAAGTGTTTCTCAAATCCATTTGTCCATGTCTTGCAAAGCTGCCAGTAAAACACTGTTTAAAAATAAATGAAATTAGAGAGCATCATGGTCTAAAATTAACACTCTCTTGTGTTGAAGTCTGGTGTTTTGTTGTCTCTTCACCTGAATTCCTCTTTTAACTCTCATCAAAAATGCAGCCGCTTGAGGGTTTTGTCTCTTTTTAAATAACAAGCTGCAAAAATATATATATATATTTTTTAAAGTTCATTACAGCCACCAAATGAAAGCGGACGTGGAAAGGTGACAGCTGTGTCAAGGGGTTTCACCTCGGTGGTGGAAATGAACACCATCTTTTCTTTTTTTTTTCCTATTTGATCTTTGTTTTTACATAACAGAATAGGAATAAATAGAATCAGAGGGCAAGAAAAAGATGAAGATTCCTCCACCGTTCCCACAAAGAAGCCTTCCCTCCCATCAGCAATAATAAAAAAATGACAAACCCTCCCCTTTATCGTACTCCAGACCACACGCACACCACCCACACACAATTTGTGTAAACTCCCTTATCCCAAAGAGCTTGAATAATACAAGAGGAATTAGGCTCCTGACCGCTCACTGAGTTTATGATAGCACATGTGTCTGTCTCTGACATTCAACTTCCACTCTCCTCAAGCATTAATGTCCAGTCTACAAAGGCTTCCCCCCTGTAATTGCATTATCATCTCTCCATTTCTCAAGCAGTCTCTTTCGTCTGCTCCCCCCTCCCCTCTGTCCAAAAGGCAGGGATGGGTGGAATAATCAATACCAACCTTTGAAATAGCCTGTAGAGATGGGAGGCAAGCATTTGGATTTGGATTTGATTGATTCTGGACCGCCCTCAGAGAGTGTTATCATCATAAAGCCAAAGCCATCTACTTCATAGAAAGCCCACACAGGAAAACACACACATGCAGGGAGAATCAAAAGGGCAGAGCACACAAATCCCTGTGGACTGAATACAAAAAATAATGTCAGCCCATTATCACTGACCAGTCTGGGTAGAAAAATTCAAAGCAGATATGAAGGCTGGAGCAGCTTCACGTCACTTCGCAAGTGACTATGAACGGAGATGCTCTTATTTTGATTCTGTTTGTGTCATTTATATTATAGGATCCACAAAGTCATCAGATTACCGTCTTCCTTTCGTCGTGTCTGTTATGCGCATTGAGAGAGGAAGATGACCTCATTAATCTTTGGTGCATTGTATAGACCTATCCTGTCATAGCCCTGACACTGTGGTTTGTGACACAGCTCTGCTCATTAAATCATGTGACAGGATGAGGTCAGCCGTGAGGTAAGGTGTCTCAAGCTGTGTGAGAGCAGATAAAGCCAGCAGTGTGAGCCTCTGTTAGGGAGCTCGACAACAAATGTACTGTTGGTGGCAGCTGAGGTGACTCATAAGGTAATCCTGGTTAGTGAGCTGGCTTCAGAATCTAATAAAAGTCCAGGGTTTTGTCTCTTTGAGGTCACACCACAGGGACAAACTCACATCCACTGCGTTTGAGGCGTCATGTGATCTGGCACCTCACAGAAGAAACTTCACTGCCTTTTTAGGCCTTGTTACTGTAGGTGGCATCTTGCATAACACTCATCGTGCCATGCTTGTCATCCTGTGATTACTTTCACTTCACCCAGGGAACAAGAGTTGCGGGGGCTTCATGGTTCCACATTGATTGTGGCGGTTCAGCTTAAAATAACAGCAACCTGCAGGGAGCAGAAGAGCACTCTGCCTGAACTCTCACTCGCTTTCACCACGGAAGTGTGTTTGAAGACAGCGAGACGTCTACCAGAAAATTGCAAGGGGAAAAATAGGAAGCATTATGGTCTCAGGAATGGAGCTCTCCATCAATAATGCAGAGGAAGCAGCAGTTAATGCCCCCTTTAATTCAACAGGTCTGCAGACACCGGCACAGTTATTCTTCCTCGGCTGCAGATGCTCGATTAGAGGCCGCTACATCAGACTTTATGGCTTTGTGTGCGGTTGCACTGCCAGGTCTTTCCCCCGACCTCAATCCCGACTGCACAGCCATTAATGGGTTTTCATCAGGGGCCCCTACTAATGGAGTTTCCAACTTCTCAGATACCAGTGGGGAGCTGCAACACAGAGAAAGAAATAATGCCCACATAAAGTCAAAATATATGAGCTCAATTTAGTGTGAACAGTGAGAGTAGACTTTTTATAAACAAAAACAGGGCAGCATGAAAACAGCAGGTGTCACACAGTAAACGGTCCCTTATATAATTTAAGTTGTCCTGCAGGTCTTATGTTTAAGTTTAACAAATCCCCCATCGATGCAAGAAAATTTGATTTTTATCAGTAAAATTCTTGTCTTGATTTTTTTTTATTTCCAGTGTAGTCAAAAGACAATATCATAAAAGTAAACATTTTCAGTGGTGGCAGATTCAAGTTCTTTACTTAATTAAAAGTAACAATCACCAAGGTACTTA